ATATATCTTCATTTAAGTAGGTCTAAACCTGCTTATACATAGAGAGGGTGTTAAAACTTATAAGAGATTAGACTTTTAATATTATAGATAGAGAGTAACAAATTGGATCTTCTATCAAATAAAGAGTATACTATAAATTCTGATATTTATAATGAAAATATATTTTGATGATTTTTTTTTATTTTTAAAAAATAAATCAATAGATCGTGTATTATAATATATCACTTGTTAGGATAAACAACTTTATGCCTTGGCCTCGGGGCCAACGCGGCTTGGTTCGGGCCCGAATGCACGGGGATCTTGCGCGGCGTTCCTTAGGACAACCGGGGTGGCCGGTTGCGATAGTCCGGGCGGGATGTTGCGTGTGGAGTAAAACTTTTCCGCGACGCTGGGAAGATGCAACCTCGCCCTTGTACCTGCACACAGGTCAGGTCGGAAGCTCGGCCCGACCCCTCCGACGATCAAGTCAGATGATGTGGAAGGAGTTTTTTGCTAGTCAAGAAGTGTCCCCTCACTCGTTTAGAACTCGAGGGTATTTATAGGGCAGTTTAGTGTTACCTGATATGCCTGCCTGTAGGAGGTAGGATCGTACCTCTGATGGCGTCTGACATCGCCCTTGTCGTTGCGTGGAGAATCGAACTACCGCAAGGTATGGACGAGCCTCGGTCGTTGTCCTCTTCTGCCTTGGTCAAGCGCGCGGGGTCAGACAGTGATGGGGTTGTTGCCTGAGAGCGGATGACGTCAGGGCACGTCGAGTCAGCGTTATTGCCCTCCTCCTTGGGCAGAGCGACGCCCAGGTGAGGCTGACATCGTGGCACGTCGTGTCGCCATTATTACCCCTATCATCACTAATATTATTATTTTTGCAAGGGTCTTTGTCCAACTTACATATTTCTCGATATCAAATTTACGATACACATAGACTCAAACGTAGATTCGACTTGAATTCTTCTTCGAATAATCAAATTATATTTGAACAACTTATAAGTACCAGCGGAAACCGATCGCGGTTAGTCATCTCCTTAACTAAAAGAACAAAATTGATGAGATGTATTAATTTAATTGATTGAGATCAATCCAAGTCCAACTCTTGTTCTACATATTTGTTCTCCGTCTTCTCCATCGTTTCATCGATGTGATTCTAAATATGTGGACGTGTGGAGTGCTCTGTGTAAGTTTCAAAGGCTTAATTGAGGAATCCCTTCCATGAGATCCTAAATCGTGTCTTCTCAGATTTTGCTTGGCACCTTCGTATCCCATGCATTCTGTGAGACTAACTCGCAACATCAAAATTTCCACCAACCACAAGTGCGTGTTTTGAGTGCGTAAGAAGTTATAATCTACCGAATGGTCAATTCAGTTTCTCATCGGACAATATTCGTTTTGGGATTGGAGTATATTTCACCTCTACTCTAAAATGACTATAATGGATATTTTATTAGATTCGTCATTCTTTTTTATTAGATTTTTTAGCTGTGGGAGGAAACCATTAATTAGGAATTATATATATATATATATATATATATATATATATATGATACTTCTTACTATCTTT